TTTACTGTCTTAACTGCTCAAAAAACAAAGACTGCAGCGTTTTGACTTCATTGGAGTCATAACATAAATTCTAAATTTAATAAATTATCATTAAATGTTAGAATAAATAATGTAAATTAATAATGTAAAATTTATAATTTTTTTAAGATTAGGATTAGATTAGATAGGATCACATTAAGTTTATATTCTTTTTAAACAGATTGCAGTATTATAGCAAAAATGTAGTCTTAAAGACAAACAACAAATGTTTTGCACAAACTGAACAATACAATACTATATTAAACTCAAATATATTATCCGAATTTAAATTAAAATAACGTTAATGAATTTATAAATATTTTGAGTAAGCCAAAATCAGATGACAACCGCATGTTTTGCGCCCTTGGTTTAGGTGAAGTCGTCTTAATTTAAAAGTAACCTAAGTATTAAAATTTTTTTTAAAAAGAATTTTAAAAATGGAATTAATTTGGTTACATTGAAGAAGAGAATGGCAAATCTATGCAATATTTTTTGTTCAAGATTTTCTTGTTGAAGGAGACTGCTTTGACGTTGTTCAAGAAGAAGAATGTTTCTTGTTCAACATGTTTACTAGAATGGCTGTTAATTGATGGTTCGAAGTAGACTGATTGGAAAAATAGCTTAACCTTAAAAATTTGTTAGAAATATCTTATCACTAAAATTCTACTGATTTTCAAGTTCTGGAATTATCAATAAGATAATTTTTAGGCCAAATTACAGGTAAATGCCTATTATGCTTTTCTTAGAAAATCTTTATTAAAAAGTCCGATTTCTATCGATTGTTTTAATGCTAAAAATATTCCATTCCATTGATTTAAAAATTAATATATGCTTATTTTTCAGATAAATATCAATAAATTAATTAATAAAACTGTCAGACTTTTGAAAGGCTATCAACTATAAAAATAATGTTTTCTTTTATTTAATTATTATTAAATACGTTTGAATATTTTTGTTTTTTTGTTATAAATTTGGTCTTTTCCAACATCTTAAAAAGTATAGAAAAGTATTATTGATTATTTGAGACTGAGTTAGATCTTTGGTACTCGTTAATGGCTTCAACTTGTAAATTGATGCATCCTGTTTATTTTCTAGTTTTTTTACAGACTTTAATAAATCTTACATAATAATAACA